TCTTCTGCGTAATCTTTATATAAAATATTGGCAGAAGAATACCCTCACTTAACGTTAATATTTAGGTTTGTCAGTTCGAATGAGCGATAAAACCTTGACCGGCATTAATAATCAATGGCCTGCATTAAATTTTATGCGGTGTTACCTTAATTTCTCACGATCGATTTTTGATTTATAACGAATATTACGAATATCTAGAAAGCCTTTTCTTATTATATATGATCCCGCGATAAAAATGGGACTTAAAAAGGCTATAAGGGTAATGAGTATAACGTTCTTAATTAGTAGTTTTGTCAAAATTCATATGTGCAAGAAGTCGGAATCTCCGCCATCTCCCGAGATTGTCAGATCTAAACCTTCCTTAAGCAATCGTCAAATCTAAGGGGGGTTAATTTCACCAGAAAAATAACAATATAGATTCAGTGTTTGGAACTTATGACCGAACGGAGTTGCTTTATGGAGGAAAAAACTGGCGTTGGAATTGGGTAACGCAATTACTAATCGTGTATTTTTTCTTCTGGTTAGTTCTTAGATCCAGATAATTGGTAATGCCCAGTTTACAAATATTCCATCGGATTGATAGAGCCATTTAAGTACTGCGTATTGGATTATTTTGGCTGAATTTATTCATTTTATTATGCTGGCATAATTATTAAGTTTTGGGCTTTTGGCTTCTCTGCTCTGGATTAGCATTAATTGAATGAGATTTTAACAATTGTACCTGGTCTTCCAGACCCCTGAGAGCAGAGTATAATTTCTCTTCAAGTTCTTGCTCACATGCAGTACCAAGCCGACGCCCAGCTCTCCTTCTAAATTTCTTTATAGAACGATAGCACTCAACTATTACAGAATCTTCAGATGAAGTTGACTCAGATGAACTAGACTCGGATGAACTATTTATGGATATTTTGCTACTATTGCAATGCCTCATAGCAAGTAATTCGTCTATGTTATCCTTTAGGCAGTCTACACGTTCTGTTATATATTTTCCTAGGCGATTAACTTCCTTTTTAAGCTTTTTATGCTGGAAATAATAATCTTCTATTTTTATCTTAAGCACTCTAATTTCTCCAGAAAGCCCACTGTCAGTAGTGATGCTAAACGGCTCGATCAGCTTGTATATTCAGTATAATAAAAACTGATTAATCAATAGAGCCAATGAGCTAATACGCATCTCTAACTGTCAGATGAATGCTTTTGATCAGTTGGCATTTCCGTGATATTTTATATATGCAATATTTTTAGGCGAACAAAAAAATAAAATTTAATAAATGATATCTAAGCTATCTGGATTACTCAATTTAGTAGCAATCCTGATGATTCACAAATTACCAATTTATTACTGGAATGAAAATAAGTTAATAGCGAACTTAGTAGGAAAATCGTAAAAGGAAAGCATTCGGATATGTATCTAAAAGGGTATTCTTCTGCGTAATATATTATATAAATATTGGCAGAAGAATATCCTTTCTGCTCTTAATCCTCTACCCTCCCAAATATTCCATACTTACCTTGCTACTGATTACAATTATATAGTTCATGGTCAGGAAAAAAGTAAGCGATACATTCAGACTAGCGATTTATATCTCTGGGCATATCCGAGGCTAGGTTATGTGATCGGAGGTCAGAAGAGGTCACCTTATGACCAGATCGAATATAGGAATTGAAGTTAGTCAGTATTATTGCATTAGAAAAAAATAAATAATATTGTAAGTCTTTTTAGCCGGATTTACCATGCCTTGCTAGGAATACTTAACAATATAACTCGATAATATCATCTATATCGGCTTCAGATGAATTATCTTTTTTATCATCCTGTAACTTTGATAATGCTCAATAGCGTGTGATTTCTAGACCAACTATCCTGTACCATGTATTCTGCAAATCAACTAGTGAATCACACTCATTTTCTGGATTATATGATAATATATATCTTTTTAAGGTCATGGCATTCGATTTTTGCTTACTGGTTTTAGTAACTAATTTATACATTTCTTCTTTGCACCCCATATCGCCCTGGGAAATTTCTTTAAGCAATGTTGAAAGCTTTAAGCGGATGGATTTCTCTTGCTTATCTAGAACATTGAGGTAGGATTGGTAATAAACATTATTAGCCAGGTATTCTCCTACTTTGTTATCAGCCAAAGGCACTAAAGCATAAATAGTATCATATAAATTTTTTGCGTGAGTACATGCTTCTTTCCATAAATGGGATATGATGGTTTCATCTTTTTTCGGACTATCACGTAGATCTTTGATATACCCTTTAATTCACTTTTCAGCTGATTTCTGCACTAAAGCATCATTCATATTTGATATTTCATCTTCATCCAAATATTTGCCATTTTTCGATTTTCCTATAGATTCAGATGATGGCTGGTATCGATCATCGTAATTTATAAAACACGTACAGAGACTGACAACACTTTTCAGATAATAGTTAATATCGAT